AATGTATTGTTCTTTGTACTTGTTTCCCAAGCTAATTTTATATATTAATACACCATTAATACACCATTGTCTATCCAGCTTATCTTAATACATAAACATTTGTAGAGTTTGAGGCTTATTAAAAAGGAGGGGGCAGCACTTGATGTCCACAGCCAAACAAAATCACTGCAAGAGGATAGAAATAATGATGTGGCAAGACTTTAAATGAAAGTTCCAGTCACGAAGCTGTGTTTAACACTAGTGCTTCAAAACTGCCAAAAACAGGAAGTGCGTGCCTCCATGAAAGCAGTGCACCCATCCTTTAGGGGACACCTTTATAAGCAGAAACTCAGGCTTCTGGTTAACACTGCTGTGCACATGGAGCAGAGGAGTTCTTGGGGCAGTGAACAGATCTGCTCTGACAAATCTAGGTGGGTAGTCTGAGGCAGGTTGAACAGCACACTTTGATTCCAGGGCTATGTGAATTTACCGTCTGTGAGTGGGGATAGGGAAATATATGTGGCTAGCAGTGAATCCTGGCTAGGAGTGAATCCACTACAGGCAGCTTGTGGCTGGATCTATATTTTACTGCGCTGGTGGAGCAGTCTTTTCAACTTTCCCTTCCCTTGTCATTCCAGCCCTCTGAAATGCTACACAGAGGGTGAGGAGACTGCTGAATGAGGTGAGGTGTAGTATGGGAGAGAGCCTGGATCTAGCTCGTGATCTTCCAGCCATTTTATGCTCTCCTCTGAAATTTGGAGACCACTTTAAATCACTCCATGTGAGGAGCCGTTAACATGCTGAAGGTCATCCTATGGACTCCGCTTTCTTCACCATAGCACCACAACCACCCAGAAAAGGTTTGCAGTGACGTGAGGAAAATGGTCCATGGCATGTAATGAAATGCTTGCATGTAAACAAGTCACCATGTGTGACACTATGTATCACATGGAGCAAATTGCAGCAGCCTGTACATGATGGCTGTAACTTTTAGACTGGCCCTTTTGAAATAAAAAACTAGGACTGCAGAGTGGACAATTACATTGGAATCAGGCTTTTGGTGACTCAGCTGCTTCCTATCTAATGAAAATACATGCATTTAAAACAAAAATGAGCAGCTTCTTTTCATTATGAATCAGAAAGTAACACAGAGATGAGTTACTCTAGTTTTCTCATCATCATAGCTGTAGGCTATTTGCAACTCTACCTTGATTCTGATGAAATAAGTGGGGATTAGAGCAGTGGAGTATTGTTTATTTCTTATTAAATTTATTGCTTCAAGGTAGTATATCTCCATATTTTGTCCAGCCCCAGTTTTATCATTACAGTTTTATCCTTGTAGGGTAGGAATGGCTAGAAGATTATGACTGGTCCAACTTCCTACCTGCTATGCTCATTCAGGTCTTTTGCATGAAATTTATGTTGCACTTTCTACAGGTTTGCCAGTCTGACAGAAATTCCACTAAACTGGGATAATGGGGAGCGGGGAAGACCTTGTGGGATTGTAGTGTCATAAGAGATGAATTGATTTGCTCTCACTTTGCAATATATCAGGGTGGATCCATATTTAAGTTGGATCAACTGGATTGCCCTACTCCACCCTTCCCACAGCCCCCTGAAAATACTACAGTAAGGCTGAAGAGGTCTTAATGAATGGGGTGTGTGGCAGTGTGGGTGACAGATACAGGGAGCCCCCAATATCAGAGGGAGGTACTGAGTAGAAAACAAACTCTGGATTGATATGTACAATGCATGTTTGCTCATGATGTACATATGTGGGCAGATGTTTCTCATCACTCACCACTGCTCCACATGTTGACATTTCCCAGTGCAATTTTCTCCATCATTGCATCTCCTGCCAGCAAACAGCTTCACTTTCTAAACTGGGCAGCTTTTAAAAGCCCTTCACCTTTTTCCACAGAATGGAGTCAATGTGTATCTATCAATGAAAATTGCTTACCTAGTGCAACACTTCCTAGTAGTAAAACCAAACCAAACATATACATTTAGCCAAAATTCAGGGAAAGTAGTCATGTGTAACAACCCATACCTATGAATGTTTTATTCAGGAATAAATTGCACTGAATTCATGGGACATACTGGCAAATAAACATGAATATATCTGCAGTACAGTTTCCTAAAAAATCAGTGGAGCAAGCAAGTTGGAAGATTGAATTCTATTAAAATCAGCTGGGAAAAGTCAGAGGACCATGTATAGCAGTGGGGGAATCATAGCTCAGTGGTAGAGTATGTCCTTGCATTTAAAGGGATAGACTTTTAACTGCAGCTGATGAGCCAAATCCATAAATCATCTGACCAGGTATAAAGCCACTCCCTGTGCACTAAAATGTGCATTTAGAATAAAATATTATATTCATTCATTGTTTCTGGAGAACATCCCAAGAATGCATTCCAAGGGGTTGGATTCCCCCTTGCAAAGCCATACACTACATTCAAATTGCTCCTTTGCCCTTCCTGACAGTCACTGCAGAAAGAACCATACCAGCTGCTTCCTGTGCCCAGAAAAGTCAAAAGGGGGGCTGTTCTGGGAGGTAAGCAACGGAGAAGAGAAATGAGGTCAGGATTTTCTGTCTTCTATGGAGAGGAAAAAGCATAGAGAGATAAAAATTGATTTCATTGCTCCCCTTTTTGCAGCAGCCTGGCAGGACACTAGATACTTGAAGTTTCCAAGAGCTGAGATTTCCATCTAGTAGGCCTATAGGATCTTGCCCTTGATGTAAAATAATAACTACATTATTTGATATTAGAGAATATGCTATTTTCTTGGCAGAAAGACCATAACTTACCTATATATTGGCAGAAAAGCAATAAATCCCATGCTAGAGCCACAGATACATGCAAATGGCCTTTGCCTGCATATGCAACTTTTTGCCTGCCTGCTTCATGGAGCACACGCTCAATGCTGGTGTGAGCATCTGTGAGGAGAGCAAGAGGAGCTGGTCCCCATGCCCAAAGCTCTTCCGAACAGGCAAGCAACACTGTCAAAGATAGCAGTGCTAATTAACTTACCAGCATTGCTTTACCTGCCTTACTAGATTGCAGATGGTAATTTAGCAATCAGCAAATGACTAACACTGAATCATTGTCTGTAGAAGAGGGACGGAATGCTGAGAAGTTTGCTTCAGCTGGAACAGATTCTGATCAAGAGACTTGCCTTTTTTGCCCTTGATGTCAAGGGTGATGACACAGGGAAGGGTTGTTCAGTCATTTCTAACAGCTGGTAGATTTGTACATTTGTAATATTTGTTTGGAACTTGCAAGTTGCTTCCATTGTTCAGTCTACAATCCTTTAAAAACAAAAAAACCTCCATGTTTCACCTGCACACCTGTTTATACAAAACTGAAAGGCATGCCAACCAAAATAGATACCAGCTGTGTGGTAATTACCCTGTCATTTAATGGAATGGTTCAGCTCTGTTAAAATACTGATTTCAAAGGAGGTATAGGTGCACATTGAATGTATGGACCACCACCCAGTGTAATGGGAAACAGAGACTGGGTTATCCTTGGGCTTCCAAGACCTGAGCTGATGATTGGGAACCAAGATTGCCAAATGTATGAGTATAATAGGAACAAGAGAGCCCGTGTACCTTTAACACCAACTTGATATGAAAAAGCTAAGTTCTTCATGGCATGGAAATAAGTGTTTCCCCCTGCAAAATTCTACAGACTAAGTGGTTAGGCGTACAGTCATGTGTACCCCACAGTCGTTACATGGAGGCCTCCAGACTCACAGGCTTAGATACAGCCTATTCCCGGAGTGAGGCAATTCACAGAGGGAGGTGCTGAAGCACAAATATGAATTGGCATCAGGCAACAGCCTCAGGTTCCTCCCCTCTTCATCCCCAGCATATCTCTTCCCCCATTCCAAGGCCCGATTGCATCCTCAGAGAGGCAGCCCATACAGTTCTTCTATGCTAGCTGCAAGCAGGGGCAGGGGCAGGGCAGGCGTCTTCAAAGTCCCAACCCTGAAGCTGCAAGGACCTCAGAGCCAGGGAGCCCCTGATAATGTTGGGAGACCATCACATTGCTCCCTAAACTAGGCACCCTCTTTTGAACTATGAACACACATCATCCTCAGCCAGCTTGATGGGAGATGCAGCAATATGTCTGGAGGGCACCAGACTGAGAAAGACTGTCCTGGTTTGTGGGTCTTCTGGCCATTCTGTCCAAGATTAGGCTTAATTAAATGGAAGTGACTCACTTGTTTGTTTGTTTGTTTATGCAGGATAAATTAGGGTGAAAAAGGTGTCTGTTTCAACCAAAGGTCTTTTTGCTGACATTCTTTCTTATAACAAAGACATTTAAATATAGTGTGTATTGCTGTAACCTCAATACAGACACCTTTTTGAGATATTTAAATAAATGTATGCTAACATAAAATGAAATAAATAATAGTTACCACTCATTGTTACAAGAAAAATCCACATCTGCATTACTGCAAATGCCACGTCCTATATCCTAATAACCTCATATACAAACAAAACCACCTCATACATGAACAACTGTGCCATTAAATCATGGACCTGCAAACTAAAATGGTCACCGACTAACCAACTCATGCTTAAGTTGACTTATTAACAATTGTCCATAGCTTGTAGTTTATGGAAATCAGTTAATACAAACATCTGTAAACTAGAAATTACCAAAAATCCCCATAAAAGGAAGCTGTATATTTACTTTCTACAAAGTTACTCAATGCATCATTGTCATCTGACTAATGATAGGCTTCGCACTGTGGCAATTTCAATGCTTCATTTAGGCAGAACAGCTACAGAAAATTTTGATGATGCTGAGTTCACCAAGGGTTAAGAATTCTAAGGAGGATACATATATCTGCAAGAGACAGTAAAGGTCAGATAAGCTGATTGGGAAAAGGAACATACAATAGTAAGCAGGAGGTTTTTGATGCATTCAGTTAGGTATGTAGTATTTGCACTGTAATTTGATTAATGATATGATCCATCTGATTATAAATTGTAATCTTTTCTTTCTTGTAGGCAACTTCAAAAGATAGTACATGATATCAAGAAAAATGACAGTGGAATAATGAACAAGTTCAAAAAGTGAGTTGTGGACATTCTGTGATTTCCATGACTGGAAGTTTAGCATCTTCTTTTTCCTTTTTGATTTTGACACATTTTTGATTTCTCATATTTTTGATACATGTTCACCATAAGCAAATGTTCATTTATTCAGAAGTAAGTCCCAGCATTTTCCATGGGGCTTATTCCTAGGTAAGTGGGATCCTAAAGGGTAACGAAGAGGGCTCTCAGATACCAGAGCTCATTAACTGACCTCAGCCATCCAAGAGTTTAAAGTGCTTTGCTCATAACAGGAAGTGCATAAGCCAGTTCCCAATATTCTGACTTATTTACTGTGAATTTACAGGTTGGAACTCCTCTGATGAATGGGAGCCACTGTGCAAATAGGAATAGGTTTGATTCTCAGTGGCTGGAGTCACTGGGGCAGGGAGCAGTATTCCAGTTTCAAGGAGAATCCTTAGTACTTATAAAGGAATACATGTTTTTCACTCACAAGGAGGCAGGAATGCAGTGTGCATAGGCATGTTGCTAGAGAGATGAAAGTGAGAGATGAGCCTGCCCCAACTCTTGACATTGAAGAGGGCTGGCCCTACCAGAGCTGTTGGAGGCAGTGGCAGACATTCCCTGGCTGTTCCTCCTGAGCCCCTTTAGTCATTTCCTGCTGTTAGAAGACAAATCTTTGAGTGCCACCCAGCCTTCTGGGTGCCCCTCTAAGCTAGCCTGCTGCCCTCAGGCCAAGTAGAGGATACTGTCCTATTGCCTGTATCAAGGAAAGATTCAGCTGCTATTGACTTGGAATCGGAGGGCGCCTTCTGGCCCTTCATCTCAGGCAGCAAAACGCCTTGGGCCAACCCTGACAGTGGGTGCTCACAATCCACAAGTATACAAGCCTTCCATGCGTACATACGGGGCCATCATTATAATGGGTAGTTGGCTAGCACTGATTTGAAGAATCATGCCAGCTTCTCTCCTTTGAGAGTGGATATAGTGAATGTGAGTAGGAGGAGGAAGATGACAGAGTTCCCAGCCCTACTCCTTCAACAGTTAAATGGGCTGGGCCTCTGGCAAATAAATGCATGTAAATGTCAGTTCCCAGATGTACTATGTCATACTCAAGTTTCATGCTCAGAAGGAGGAGGAATTTAGGTGGTCCACATAGACTGGGGTGGGCAACCTGTGGCCCTCCAGAAGCTGAACTAGGACTCTCATTATACCTGACCATTAACCCTGCTGGCAGGGGTTGATGAAAGCTAGATTCCAACATTTGGAGGAACAGAGATTGTCTACCCTGGATGTTGATGAAAACATGGGCAACACAAGGCATGTGGCATGCACGCGCTTCCCCACTGTAGCCCCCCACATGCACACACTCACTCCTCTCATGCTTGTTTTCATAGCTGCTATACAGTTAGTGACTGATAATTCCCAGTGCCTCCCAGTGAGATCTGCTCAGTGGTTTGCAATCTGAGATATATTGAAGAGGGTGTAAAACCTGTCCATCATCTCAGGCACTCAAGTAAAAAAAAAAGCAGGTCCTACACCAATGCTGTCCCCATCTGTTTATCCCAAATACTATATATAGTATATATGAGTACTGTAGCTGGAATTCATTCCTATGGAAAAAACTAAAACACTGTGTTTGGAGGCAACACTGCAGGGTGGCACAACTTACCCACTACTCCTTATAGAGGGTGGCCTGGCCACCATTGTCATAAACACCATGTAGGACAGCCTTCCTCAACCTTGTGCCTTCCAGCCACATTTGGACTACAACACCCAGAATTCCCAGGCAATAGCCCTGCTGGATGGGAATTCTGGGAGTTGTGGTCCAAATGCCTCCGAAGGCCACCAGGCTGGGGAAGGCTGATATAGGATGTCATGTGCCTGCCCTTCAGCATCCTTCATAATGACTGCTGCTTCAGTGGTAATTGCAGCAGTGTTTGTGGCAGCAGTAAGGAGAACAGCCTTCCCCAATCTGGTGCCCTCCAGCCATGTTGGACTGCAATTCACATCATCCCCAGATCGGGGAAGACTAAATTTCCATCAGCCACTCTTGAAAAGATTTCCACTAAACCTGTGGTGGATTCAAGTTAAAGCACACAAACATAAAAGTTGACTTGACAATTTGTCCCTATGTGTATTGCAGCAGACAAGATAAAAGCAAAACAAACATGGTTGTTTTCCCTGCTTCAGAGAACTTCCAGCAATTATTAATATTTTTAAACAATCACTTCTCCCTGCAACTGCTCAGTGTGTATTTAACTCTGTATTTATCATTGAAATAGTTGTCTAAATATAGATGACTTGCAGAGAGGCATCCTGGAGACAGAATGCGTTGTTATACGCTCAGACATCAGTCCTGTGATTATTACCTTCCTTTGTGAAGCCTAAACCTGCCAATCTTCCTGGAAATGCTTATGCCTCTCCTTAGCTTTAATGCAAGCCTGTGATCTGGATGTGGCCAGCTGAGCCTCACTACCCAGACCAGTGACACCACCTTGACTTGTCCTGGTGCACTACAGCAAGCATGTTTTTGGACAAGCTCCCATTGTTGGCAATGGAGATTTTTAAAGAGCCAAATTGCCTTGCAGGGAGAGGGGTATAGGTTGGGAGGGAAGGCTAATCCTCTCCATCCATAGTGATCTCCTTCAAAAATCACCCCCCACACACACGCACACACACAAATCAGGCACTGATGGAAGTATTAATCCTCACTGTACAGTGTGTGTTTGTGTGTGAGAGAGGGAGAAAGAGAAGCATGGTCTACTCCTGCTCCCATTCGAGTCCTGCCCAGCACTGACATGGGCAGGACATGGGCAGCACTGACAGATTTTCTGGAAGAAATGTGATCCCTGAGACAGGGGAATTCTTCCCCATGCTCCTCTATTGGGATTGGTAACTAGATGAAGGGGAATAAAAGGGAACTCTTAATAGTAACTGCCATGAAAAAACAGGCCAAAGGTCCAACTCAGCCCACATTCTGTTTCCAACACTTTCAGCTGATTGTTCACAAGAAGAGCAGAAAGACAACCCCTTCTTTGTGGTCTCTGTGCAGCACACACACACGGGCATCTGCACCTGCACAAGGCCTAGATCAGAAAAAAAAAAATCATCAGCTCAGCATGCTGGAGTGGGCAGGAGCCTCTCCTCTTCCAGTTCCCAGGAATGTAAGGGAGGAGCTCCTGGCCAGTGCCTCAGTTTCTTTTCAACCACACATCACAATGATGGGGAATCCTTTGCTCCTTCACTCCTTGCTTATAGCTAAGTGGATTCTCATCCTCTTTTTCTCTCTTCTTCTTCTTGCTCCTCCTCTGAGTTGCTCCTTTGTTTTTCACTTCTTTCTAAGAAAACAAGAAAAGAGATTCTTCTCACCAAAAATATATTTTTTCTACCCAGCTTTCCTATCTCCTTCCCTTGCTGATCCCCCCACCCTGATCTGTGTGATGGCATCCACGGCCTTTTGCAGTTGCTGCTCATGCGAGGAGATGGGCATTCTTTGTGCCTCCTCTGGCTCGGCAAGAGCACATGGTAGAGACTTGCCCCCACTGCCAGGCTTTAAAAAAGCAAACAGCTGGCAGCAGGCAGATTGGCTAAAGGCGAAATTCTGGAAGAAGGCCCTTCACATGGCCAACTCTTTCAAACAGGATGCAGACAACCCTTCTACCTCCATAGGAGGTGGGACCACGATGCTGGGAGAAAGGCCGAAGAGGATAGCTGTCATGACCAAGAAAATGGCTGCCCCTTCGAGTAAGACCAGAACTGGCACTCCTCCCAGAAAGAGGTGCCACACAAGCCCCTTTTGCCAATTTCACCAGCCACTGCTTCTCTGACCCACAGCAGTTGCCCACCAACACCCCAACTGGGGTCCTGTTGACCGAGGCCACCACCGTCTCTGGCAACCAATTGCTGGACTGCCACCCCTGCCCTCGGGCTGGGGCTGCCTCCCCCATGTGCGAGTCCCCACCACCATCGACCTCCCACTAGCACACTCCAAGCCTGAGCTCCATGTCTGAGCTCTCATCGCGTGACCAGGGCCTCTCCTGGTCCAGGAGGAACAGGAACCTTCCTGTTCTCCCCCACTTGTCTGGGACTGGGACATCCCATGGTCTCTGGCCACACCTACCCAAGCTGTCAGAGTACTCAGACCACTCAGCCAAGCTGAGTCCTGCTGCCACCTCCCACTGCAGAACCTTCTGAGAAGATCCACGAGATTCTGACTCCTCCACCAGAGACCTTGAGGCCAACCAACACCAGGCCAGGCCGGCACCACAAGGGCTACTAATGCCAAGACTGCACTGACCCTGCTCGATGCCAACCCAGCTGACCAACGTCCAATGCCAACAGCTACCACCATGACTCTGACTCCACGTCCTCCCTATGTCGAGACATCCTGATGCTGACCTACCATCACTGGCCAATGCCAAGCAGATGGCACCACCAGTGTCACCTCACCCCATAGCTAAGACCTCGTCACCACCAGTCCTCCCTAGCATTGCACGACCGACACTGATCAGCATCAACAGCAAGATCCCCAAGCACCTCTGTGGTCACACTACCACTGCCTAATGTTGCCAGTCCAAAGTTGACACCAACCACCAATGCCACGACACTCAAGGCTGTGAGCCTGACACTGTTCAATGCCTCTCCCAAAGCCCTTGCCCACACCCACCGACGTCTTGCCACCCACCAACCACCTTATGTATGCTCCTGCCATCCAGACTCCAACAGTCACCCTCCACCGCATCAGACTGTGGCTATGTGTCAGACGCTGACTCTCCTCTCTCTCTGACTGGGATGCAGGGCTCACGCAGGGTTACTATCTCTTTCTCTCCCTCTCTTCTTGGGCTGCCAGGGACTCATGATGGTCTGAGGGACTGGGCAGGAGCCCCTTCCTTATATACCTGGGAACCAGAAGGGGAGGGGCCCCAGCATGTTGAGCTGTTGAAGTTTTTTGTTTTTGTTTTTCTGATCTAGGCCTTGTGCAGGTGCAGAAGCCTCTGTGTGTGAATGCACAGATGACCACTTGAAAAATCACACTACCGGTACAGGTAAGCAACCTACCTTTTTTCCTTTTTGGGCAACACTTAGGGCAAGCTTATACATGTTCAGGCATAAATAGGTTTTACATCTCCCAGCATCCCTGAAGCTGGCTGGGAGATGCTAGAAGCCGGAAACCCTTTTTCTGTCTAAAGACACCCTTAGTGTTCCTACTTCTGTTTCTCAGCATCTGGAACAGGCAACTCCTAGCAGCAGCCTGGTGTAATAAGCACTTGCTAAAGTGCTGTACAAGCACTGTGTTTAGCCTTGTGTGGGTTGATGGACATGTTTAGCCATTAACAGCTGTTTAAGCAATCTTCAAAGTTGGGATATAAAACAAGCAGGAACACAATCAAGCATGGCCAAACATGCAAGCATTTCACAAATACAGGGCTTCCTTACAGAAAGGTTTTCCTATACAAGGTTTCCTATAGTAGCAGTGGTCTTTTTGAGCACAAGAATTGGATCGCCATTTTTTGAACAGCATGTGCTGCGACACTTTGAATGCCAACTGTACAAAGCTTTGGCAAACTGAGCAAGTCAAAGAAATGAACCAAAGCATACAGTGAAACAGGAGCCAGCATTGAAAAGGGGTGGGTAATAAATTGGAACAGATCTAAATCAAAAGATGGGGGAACTAGTGGTTCATGATGGAATATCTGTGTCTAACAATTTTATGATAACTAAAGAACATGAACTGAAGGCCAGAAGTGTTCTTCAGGAGTGTGCTATATAACACCATATATAGCACAAGGATATAAAATTCAGGCCAGCCAGATCCAATTTTGGAGATTCCCCAGATGACCATACCTCTTCCCCTGGCACCACTCCCTTTTTCCAAATCACCAATCATCAGCTGGTTTTCCTCCTTTGGTGCCATTTTTGCCCCATTCTAAAAACTGAAATGTTTCTCCAAATGTTTAGTTACTGGCAGTAAGCTCTTTAAGTTTAAATGTACTGGTATTTTGTTGTGCCCAACACTAAATTCTGCCCCATAAGAGCTTCTTCAATCTAGAATTTGGTCCTTTGTCTGAAAGCTACCCCAGCTTTAGCAGCTCCTGGGGCAGAACTGAAGAACTGGCACAGCTGCACATGGCTCCCTTGGGCATATGCATGTGGAAATCATGGTCTCACAGGATGCTCCTATGCAAGTATTGGCAGTATGTGTTTGTGGTTTAATTCCATTTGTGCAAAAGATTGTTATAGGCAACTTGAGGAACCTCTTTTTTCCTTTTTTCCTGTTGATATTTAGGTTCCCAACTGAACACGTGGCCTTAATATACAAAACTGGAAAAAATACATGGGATCGGTATGATAACTTAGAATTCCACAAGTTCTGGCTAATCAGCATGGAGTCCTGCTGCCTGCTTTTAGTGTGATGCTGTTTGCATTTCTTTGAAGGATTCTAGCCAGGATTTACAGAACAACATTTAGAAGTTGGAGCTTCTATCTCCTTCCTTCTTCCATCCAGTCACTTCATAGTGTTTGGCCTCATTTTCTTCAACGTTGTGCCCTGTGTTTAACCATAACTCCCACCATCTTCAGCCGGGGTATCTTTGCATGAATCAATTCAAGGACGCAATAAGCCAAAGTGCTTAAGTAGCACTACAGAAAATGTGACCCTTTTTGCAATACAAAATTCAGGGTACTGCTAAGAAAGATAAACAGAACTGCATACTGACACCCTAGGGCAAGCAGGAGAATATACATATTTTAAAATCCTATATGTAGCAGAGGGTGAACAATGAACCTTTCATTCATTTCTATCTGTCTGACAATGATCTTTTGAGACTTAGCAAGGTTGAACTGTGAGGGGCCCACAACACTGAACCCCTGGACTTGACAGTCATCAATCTGCTCCTCGTACTGGCACTAAGAAGTGTGGTGAGAGTCAATTGCTGAAAGAGGACAGCTGTTGGAGACAGCTTTCCACTGCACCCAGGCAATAAGACAAGTTCATGATGAGAATGCAGCATGATCCCCAACCCAACAGCTTTATATTGCTGCTCCCCCAATAAATTGGAGACCAAATTAGGAAATTTGGTTTAGGAATCCTGGAGATGAGAGTAGAACTGTACGAAGAACACAGCTCTGTTACCTAGGGAGTATTTTTGAAAGAAAACCACCAAAACATACCACTCAGAACCCAATGCTGGCTTTCAGCAATGCTGGATGGCTCGTTCAGGACCAGTCTTGCACACGTCCCAACTACCTAAGATTATTCCAGCTGAAATAACTTAGGGATTGTAGTCCTTCTGAAAATCAAAAGAAATTAAACTATAATCATTCAAACCCAGGCAGTGACTGGGTTCACACAATAGTGGTTTATAAGCTAGAGGTGGCTTGTCATGTTGTCTGAACCCAGCAGCATGGCTTGTTAATCACTCTGACTGGGTTTAGACAACACATCAAGCCACCTATTACTTTAAAGCTACCATAGCTTACCTGGTTTTGTGAACCCAATCAGTGGCTCCTTTTCACAAACAGTTCAGGTGGAAAATCAATATTGAGATGAAGAATCAGATTCTGTCTCAGAATAGGGAATACATTTTGCATGCATTCCAATCTAAATTTTCAGACTAAAAGAGCAAAAACTGCATGATATTTCATAGTCTAAATGTTACATTTTATAGCTTTGTAACTAACTCGCAAGCTGCACTTCTGTAATTGTCTACTTATTTTCTTCTCCTGCAGAACTATATGCACACTTTGTCTGTACATGTCAGATGCCATAAACTGGTTTGCAGTTTCATGTTGTTGTTGCTAAGTGGTTTGAACTTCTTCTTTACTGCAATCATCTTTTTTCGTCTGCTTTTTATTTTGTTTTGGTTTTTTGCCAGCAGCTTGTTGCTATGCAACTGTTGTTGAATGGCTCAAAACTGTACATAATGTATTTATTATATGTATATTATTCACAGGCTAACAAACAAACCACCACCAAGTGTACCACCAGTAGATTACGTTGCAGGTATGGACTTTAAACTTTTGAAACTGTTTAGTCCCAGGGATGATGCACCCACACGGTTGGCTTATTTAAAGGTTATCTCACCAAAGAGGCTCTCACATGGCTATGGTGATGTTTAAATGGCCAGTTGTCGAATCTGGAATATACTGTAGATGTCCCTTCATTGCATCACAAGTGCTGTTTCACTGGAAATGTAACAGCAAGGGACAGAAATTGGCCTCTGCATCAAGATCAAACCCTAATGAGCTTGTGATTACAAATGACTTTTGGAAGTAAAGGTCAAAGTGGTGTCTTTGAAGCCTGAGCAGAAAGAAACTGGCACTGTGAACCTTGACTGAGGATGGAGCAACATTGCATGCCCTTTTTACTCAGACCTGTTTTTAGTTATCCTGGCTAAAATGATGCAGGTTGTAGCCTCTCAGCCACCATTGGTCATTTCAGCCATTCATTTACTTCCAAGAGTATGAACCACAGCCCAAAGAAAGGTGGCACCTGTGACGCATACTTGCGAGGACACCGTGTGGCTTTCCAAGTGAAGGAGATTCCTTGGGAAGCCAAGAGATAGGAAGCCAATGCATCAGCCTGGACAACACACAGCATGATTGGCCTGACCCAAAACACTTTCCTGCCAGAAGCAAAGCATAAGGTTGCATACTCCCATCCCACATACAGAAGCCAACAGTGTTGTAAGCCGCCCCGAGGCTTCGGCAAGGGGCGGCATAGAAATGTAATAATAATAATAATAATAATAATAATAATAATAATAATAATAATAATATACTTCAGCGCTGGCAACAGGACAGTTTCCTCCACTTAGTGCAAAAGACAGCTCTGTTCTCCAACACAGGGCAATGGCTGGAGGGAAAGATGGTGTTGCTGCTCCATAAGCCCCCTTCATCTCCCACATGGAGACAGCATACTCTGCCTAACAGTAGAGCTGGCCCTGTGATAGGCAGGTGGGCTTCCACTGGGAAGAAGATCTATAAAAACAACCTGGCATACTTAGCTGGGAATAACCCCCATTGAAATCAGGAAGCTGTTATGGCTCCAGTTCCTGTAACCAGCAGTCCCAGTGGTGCATAGAGCACGGGGGTGCATAGAACCAATGCCTAATCCACAGTCTAATTGCACTTGATGCCATAAGAACTGGCCAGCAACCGAACACACACACACACACACACACACACACACACACACAGAATTAATTTGCCATATAATGGGAGGAGTAGTCATGATTCTTACAAGCAAAGGCTAGTCTTACTTACAAGCAAAACTACTACTTCATTATAAAAATTACTGGTTTTTAAATATAGCAGGACCCCCATATCTACAAGAATATGTTCCAAGCCCCTCAGTGTATGCCTAAAACCACAGATACTAGTGAACACTACATTTGCAGGGGTTAGGGGTGCACAACCCCACACAGTGGAAAAATGCAAATATCTCTAGGGGAAAATCATGAATATCTCTAGAGTCTTCACAACCACTGAGAGGCAAACACATGAATGAGGCTGGCTAATACTGAGACAAAGAGCACGAAATCCCTATATGCATAGTGCAGAGTTTCCTAGAGATATTTGTAGTTTTTCCATTTTCGCAGGGGTCCTATGCCTCTAACCCCACAAGTGTGCAGGGCCGACTGTCAACTGGGCTTAAGTGAAACTGTAACAACCGAGACAGCAGATATGGGGGTCTTGCTGTAATACCTTTAGTAATTGGGATGCTGATACTTTTCAAAAAATAAACATCCTCCAGAAGGGATCACCAATAGCACTGAATTCAGTACAATTTACTTCCTCAAGTGTGTTTCAGGACCACAGCCCTAAGCATGTTCCTTAGCTCTACTGACTGTGGTGGGTTGGTAACCCTAGTGAAATCAGTGAGACTTTAGTTAGTCATGGCTAACTGAGGTTCCATTGATTTCAGTGGCTATGACTAAGTCTGGGTACAACCCACTGGATGTAGGCAGAACATTCACTAATTACACTTAGTTTTTGCCAGAATGATGTAAGAACCAATATTTATATGAGCCGAGGGCACAGTATTAGCCAGCTGTATGAACATTTCAAGTAGGTGCAATTTGTAGATGGAGAGTTAATGGGAGAAGCTTCTTTGGCATCTTGCTAACATGCATTCTCTTTAAAGATTTTGGCTAATGATCTAACTCTATGGTTTGTTTTAGAGCACCCCGTGGAAGAAGATCAATGGACAGATGAGTTTGTAAGTATATTAATCACACATCCAACATTGCACTTATATGGAGTTGTGGCTTTCTTACTCCAAATAATCTATACTTGCTTACACTTGTACAGACAGGTCATATAACCAGTCTCAGGTCTCAATTTGGAGCAGTATTATTTAATACACAGTAGCTGTATTAAAATGCTGCATGCTACTCATACTAAAATGCTCTCAACAGTAGACCTGTATCAAAACTTAAGGAACTAGTAGTGGAATCAGAGCTGCAAACTTCATCTCAACCATGGAGTCAATAGAAGAAGTCAAATCTTATGGCTGTTTAACATAACACAAGATCTTCTATGAAGATCTTATTCATGCAAGATTACAGTGAATTTCTGGCACTTCTGTCTCCTCTTTCCTAACCATCTGTTCCATTACATCTCTATCTTCCTTCTGCAATTTATTCCCAAGATTCCTTTCTATATATGATCTAATTTTATCTATCGGCAACTTCCCAGCTGCATACAGCTTTGAATAAAATCTATAAAATATTACTTACTTTTCTTTTGCTAAGATACAATTTTTACCCTTTTCATCTTTATTCCTGTTAAGTTTTTACATCTTTTTTGTTGTGTTACTCTAGCCAGGATTCTTGAATTCTTGTTAAAAAAAATTTTAAAAATCCTTTTTCAAATATATTAAATTTCTCTGTGTTCTATTTCCCTATTCTGCAACTCCTTCCTTTTTTGCTTGTATTTCCACCAACATTTTAATATCCCTATCATATACTTCTTCTCTAAATTCCCTGTAAATTTTTCACATATTTAGCCCTTTGTCTTTTGAAACTACAAGCTTCCCTAATACTTACTCCCCTTGATACAGCCTTCATTGTGTCCCATTCTAAGTTCTGTTTACTCCCTTCTTTATCATTAATCTTCCACATTTCTTTCAGTTCTTTCTCTATTTTATCTATTATATGCTTATGCTGTAAAACATCTTTTAGCCTGTTCATAATCCCATATAATTTTATCAAACTAATATATGAGTTATACACTCTAGAAAAAAGATCATTTGATACAAATATATAATCAATTCTAGAATAAGACCTATGAACCAAATAAAACTAAATCTTTCATCTCCCACAACTCTCTCCATACATCTTTTAAATCAGTATCATTTATCATTCTGTTTATTAATGTACTACTATACCTTGTTTCCTTTTTAATAGGATTTAATCTATTCTTCCTTTCATCTATTACAATATTGAAGTTTCCTGCCATTATTACAAATCCTTTCCTAATACTTTCTAACCCTTCCAGAACTACCTTTAAAAATTTTCTCTTATCAACATTTGGTGCATATTAACTAATGTATAATCTTCTCCTCTCATTTCACTTTGTAGTATCAGATATTTACTTTCCACACTTTTTTTCATTTCTTTAATTTTAAACTCAGCTTTCTTAGATATAATAATTGCCACTCCTCTGAATTTTGAACTCCCAATATGCTTTTTCATAGAGCATGACTGTCTTAACTCATTAACACCTTTTATTGATGAGTTTTTTGCAAAAATACAATATCAGCTCTATCCTTGCTTCAATACTTTTTCTTTTAATTATATTTCCAAGGACTTTTACTTTCAAAGATAATACTGTCATTGTTTTAGTCATAAGACTTTAACTTTAGACAGCCTTGTGGTCCCTTATAATGTGCACCCCCCACAAGCCTTACAAAGTACAAAGGAAAATTAAGAAAGCGTACTACTCTTTTAAAAAGCTCAATAACACATCACCTGTCCCACACTTATCTAAACTATCCCCACCCCTACCCTGGGGAGATCCCTGTGCACCGTTTTGCCAAAGCTGAAGGGGGGATGGAAGGAAACTCCCAGCCATCCTGACCACCAATACCCTTCCCCTCTCTCCTGGCCTTTAGCCCCTATAAAGTATCTTATTTTAAGTACTACTTGGAACTATATAATATTCCACTTTTTCTTACTTCTATTGCCTCTATAAATATTATTATTATAAGTACATAGTGATAAATAATAATACATATATCTGGATAGCTTCTTCTACCTCTTATATTACCATGACCTATAATTAATATACTGAAATAGACTTCTTCCTATTATAGCTGTCTAACCTTAGCCTATGTTATTGAATTCATTCAATAACTCATGTTTCAATCATTAAACTCCTACTATTTAATTAACTTTACTATTCTATAACTTTATGTCTTTTAAATCTTACAACAGTTATAAATCTCTTCTACAATTTTACTAACACCAAACTTAAATTTACCCTTTCCATATCAGTCCAAATTTTTCTACTTTCCCTGTTTCTTCTTCTCCAGTTGTTCTCCATCCCACTTAGCTTCTTCTACCTCTCATATTGTCATTGCATCTATTGAATATATTTATTTATTTTAAATATTTAGGCTAGCGGGATTGGGAGTTGGAGGCACTGCTTTGCGGTGGTTCCGCTCCTATCCCAATGGCCGATTCCAGAAGGTGGTGCTGGGGGACTATGGTTCTGCGCCACGGCAGTTATGCCATGGAGTTCCGCAGGGGTTCATTTTGTCCCCCTTGCTATTCAACATCTACATGAAACCACTGGGAGAGGTCATTAGGAGGTGTGCGCTGTGGAATCATCAGTACGCTGATGATACCCAGCTCTACCTCTCATTTTCAACCAATCCAGGTGAGGCAGTGGCTGTACTGAACCGGTGCCTGGCTGAGGTAATGGGCTGGATGAGGACCAATAAACTGAAGCTCAATCCAGACAAGATGGAGGTCCTGTTGGTAGGTGGTTCGGGCTTCGGGGTAGGTGACCTGGACCTTGTCCTGTATGGGGTTGCACTCCCTCTTAGGGACAAGGTTCGCAGCTTGGGAGTGCTCCTCGACCCTGAGCTGTCATTAGAAGCTTGGGTGGCGAGGAGTGCTTTCCTTCAGCTTCGGCTGATCCATCAGCTGCGTCCCTACCTGGAGAATGATTGTCTGGCGACAGTGACACATGCACTGGTAACTTCCTGATTAGACTTCTGTAATGCGCTCTACGTGAGCTACCCTTAAAGACTGTCCGGATACTTCAATTGGTGCAAAACAGAGCTGTCAGGTTGCTGACGGGGACTGGGCATTGTTGTCATATAACCCCAGTCCTCCGTCAGCTTCACTGGCTTCCCATTGAAGTCCGGGCCCAATTCAAGGTGTTGGTTATCACCTATAAAGCCCTCAATGGCTTGGGACCTGGTTATCTAAAGGAACGCTTGCGTCCATATATGCCCTCCTGCCCTTGAGATCGGCAGCAGAGGCCCTTCTCTGGGAACCCTCCGTGAAAGATATTAGGAGGGTGAGTACCCAGAGGAGGGCCTTCTCTGCGGTGGTGCTCCACCTATGGAATGCGCTCCCTAGAGAGGTACGCCTGGCGCCATCGTTATTTGTTTTTCGGCACCAGGCCAAGACATTTTAATTTAAAAGTTATTTTAATTGTTAATTTATTGATTGTATTTATTGGGGTTTTTATGCACGTGCCGAGATGTTTCCGGTTTTTTAAGTCTAATTATATAATTGTTTATTTATGTTGTAAGCCGCCCCGAGGCTTTTTGCAAATGGGGTGGCATAGAAATGGTATAAATAAATAAATAAATAAAATATAGGCTTCTTCCTAATACATAGCTGTCTAACCTTAACCCACATAATTAAATTCATTCAATATCTCATGCTTTGATCCTTAACTCATTCAAAATGCACTGCTATCACCTTATATTAATTAGCCTTACTCTATTTTATAATTTTATATCTCTTAAATAGCTTACATCAATACTACTTAGCTTCTTCTACCTCTCCTATTATTAAATATATTTAAGCAGGCTTCATCATAATACATAGTGGCTATCTAACCTTAACCTTCATTATTAAATTCTTTCAATATCTCATGGTTTGATCATTAGATTCATTCAAAGTACAATGCTATAAACCTTATATTATTCTGTTAACCTTACTGTACTTTTTTTATAACTGTATCTCTTAAATCTTATAACAGTTACAAATCTCTTCTACAATTTTACTAACACCAAACTTAAATTTACACTTTCCATATCAGTACAAAATTCTATTTTCCTTCTTCATTTCTTCTTCTCTAGTTGTTCTTCCTCAATCAAACTGGGGTCTCATGTTGGTAAGATTCCACCAACTGCTCCTTGTTCCTCTTCTTGTTGATTACCATTCTTTTGATCTGCCCCATCAACCACCAGTTCTCAAATCTGCACCACTTAAACTTTCTTAAGTTTCTTGACTTTCTTGAAAGACCCCAACCACTCAGTAGGCTTTCACACTGTTCCAGCAAATGTATTATTTACACCCTCCCCTTATACAAAACTTTCATGAACACTGGGTATCCCCAGCTATATTTGATGTTATTCTTCAATAGAACAGTCTTAATTGATCTCAGTGAGCTTCTGAACTATAAAGTGTGGAAGCAGAGATCTTGGTAAACCTGAATAGGTACTCCTTTGAATTTCAATTGACCTGATTTTCCTTTAATTGTTTTCATGAATCTTTCTTTCTTGTAATAATATGAGAATCTGATCAAAACATCTCCTGGAAAGATCCTGACTCCTTGCTAATAACCAACTTGATGTATCCTTTCAAAGCCCTCTTGATCCCATTTTACGTCAATAATCATTTGTTTAATCCAATTGAATAATATCAATTTTAAAGTTTCTTTTCTTCTGATGATAATTGCTGTGGAAGATTCTTAATTCAAACATTCAATCTGCAATATGAATCCTGGAAGGGAATAACTTCTTTATCTAGTTCAGATATTTGTTATTGCCTGATGATCCAACTGTATTGTATTAGCCATCACTGCTTTCTGTTTCTTGAAGTCTCTTGTCCACAGCCAATATTTGTTTCTTCAGTCTCAAGAATTTTTTCATTATCCCCTTTAATTTGTGTAATAATATTTTGAGATCTGAGTTCTCTATCATCTTTCAGATCTTTAATTCTTCATTTCTTTGATATTCTCTTCCAATACTTTCCTAATAATATCCATCAGCTTTTCCCTCTCACTTTCCCCCATAGCTTCACCTCCTCTTTGAGCTTCCTCCTTTCTGTCACTCCCAGCTACTCCTGTGTAATCTTGGGAAGATTAAAATCAGACAGCCATGCTAAATGGCTATGAACTGGCTGGAATTGTTTCAATTTCTATAATCTACACTGCCATTGAGACATGTTTTAAAAAGTATAAATCATCACATCATCAAATCAGGAACTCATCTCCTTCTGCTTCCTTCATAGTCTTATTCATACTACGATCTCCATGTTCTTAGCATGTTCAGGTATTTAAGCAATGGTGTTTTTATTAAACTCCAATTAGTAGGTGACAGTAAAAGAAGGCCATAAAACTCCTTTTAAGTTTCTTCTCACAGAGTTCTGGCATTCGTCCTGGAAGGGAAGAGAGGAGGGAAAGAGGAATCCTTGCTTCGATATTTTTAAAGCTTAATTTTTCAGAGTCCATAAATCAATGCCCCAATATTCTGGCCTTTTCCAAAGGCAGGCACCTTCCCCTTTACCTTGCATCCAAGATCATGATATTATCCATGAACCATCCAAGATCATGATATTATAATGGCATTCAGAGTGACATTTAGTGACTGATTTCACCAAAGTTTCACCATGACCAGAACTTCCCATCATGTTTTTAAAAAGTTGCAAGTCACAATCCACTAGGAAAATGAAGAATGTCCTGTTTCTAGGATAGTGATTATGAAAATCCTGATGATCACTCCGATTCTGAGGTGTATGTGGTTCCCACTGAAGAGAACTGTGATGACAGCTATGAGCCTCCGCCAAGTGAGCATGAAGAGAAGAAGATTCCTCCTCCAGTCTTCCCATGTTTGGGAGGGGACTATGCAGGTAATCATTCTGCCCCATTCCATGCACTTGTTTTTCCATTGAATAAGCATTAAAGAGGAAGGGATTGAAATGATGAATATATCGAGTGTACTTAGTCTTGTGGCAGTGAATAACACACATTTACCATGTCACGTGGGAAGATAGGCTCTCATTGGTCTGCTCTGAATCTGCAACCAACTGATTTCATGGCAATGATCTTTCTCACACCCATTCAAATGACATCAGTGAAAATCTGATAAGGGTTATTTGCCCCATGTGTTGATCATCCACCTAGTTTGAAGAGACCCTTCAGGGGCTCTTCTCAGTCCACTAGAGTGTTCTCCTTTTAGTATAGCCACTTCATTGCTCATTCCATCTCCAGATACACGAATGGAATAGCACCAATCTCACTGCTTCCCTTTGTTGTGCTAAATGTCCATTTACTCATACTCCTATTTTGAGCTTCCTGTTGCTCAACCAGATATCAGTTAATAAGAAGATCTATCCTCTTATCCTATGACTGTCAACTTTATTCAGTATCCTTTGACTGAGGATGTTGTTGCTGCACTGAATTTATATCCTGCCTTTCTTTCTCTTGCAAGAGGAAGCATTTTGGAAATCCCACGTGTATGATGTCTACCCAATTGTCCCAATCAAAAATTTGTTGACATAGAACTCCTAGTTTACTCCATGACTGAAAGGATACTAGAATTATCTCTAGTAAAAGAGAGATTTTCATTGTGGATGGTGAAACCCACAAGTCTATCTCAAAACAAGACTGAACTCTTTTGGTTGCTGATGTCTGACAATGATTTCCAAGTGAAGATTCAGGAGCCACCAAGCGAGAACCTTGTGGCTCCTAGCAGAAGGCTTTGGCACGAGAGAACAAAAGGGCTTCTCTTCTAAGTTGGAGCTTTGTTCCAACCAATAGAGAGGTTCTGAAGCAAGTTATCATCATCTTTGTGGATCCGTCTGCTGAAAGCATAAATTGTTAGTAAGTTAAAACATGAACTTTCTGAATTTTAGAGTGAGCTTGAATGGTTGGTTGGGTGGAAAAAATACTGGTCTAACATGAGATAAACAGGAATGCTTTTGATCTTTTTTATTCAAGGTTTATTTTAAGAATCTAGTAGAAGATGTGCACAGCTCAAAATATTTTTCAATTTCAGTTTCTAGTTGCATCTAGCTAATTGTTGATGATATGATCCTTTTTTCCAATGGTACAAATAAACCTACAGTGATTTTGGTGATTGCTTTAAGAGGGGAAAATAGTATTATACAAAACTCAGACCATACTTTTGGAAAAGTGACCAGACACTCACAATTGAAGGATGGGTATTATACAAATAAAAGTTCCTACTGTAAGAATAATGAAAGGGAGTGTCATTAAAAATGACACAAATTGTGAAATTTATTCAGAATACCTGATTCTTTCTGTAGTGATGTTTTGTTAAAATTGGTTATCTTCAAGAGTAAGCATTTTCTGACTTCAGATTATATTTCTTGAGAAAGGCCTTTAAAGCACCCAGTTTTCAAATTTAAACCTTTACACAATATGTAGACCCATGGGGTGGGGCTGACTGATGGACTGGAATTCTGAGAAGGTTTGGCAGAACATGTTACTTGTTGTACAATCACTCTCCAAGTAGCTTTGTATATGGTTATTAGCAAGAATAATGAATCCTAGTCTTGTACTGTCAGATGCCTCCTGAATCAGAAAAAGATATAGAGGAACTGAAAGTGCAGTACATTGACACTTCCTGTTCATACTGCATTGACTCCATATTCGAAACCTCATTTTATAAGGTTAAAGCTGCAATTCTACACCCATTTACCTAGGAGTAAGCCTCAGTGAACTCAAAGAGGCTTACTTTAAGTAGACCTGCCTAGAATTGCTCTCTTACATAATCATAGCTGCATAAATATGGAAGTATGTACAGGCAATCTTGTGGAAAATTAAAGATTACTCTTACATTTTCTCTATTTCTTATAGACAACAAACGACCTAGCCAACAGAACTCTTGGCCAAGTGCAAAGCCACCGCCTCCTCTACCAAGCCAATCGTCATCTACACCAACCAGAATAGCTACTTTGCAACCACTGTCTGCTGCTTTAAAGCCAAAACTCCCACCCAAGCCAACTGATGAAGAGGTAACACTTGCAAATAGATCAAACTAGTCATTAGAGGAAAAGCTAGTTATGTCAACCTTAGGAATGAATGCCCTGGCCCACATCATTAAAGCAAAATTAACAATGATGATAGGTTGCTCTCGTGTTCTTAGAGTCATTTCCCTGTTTCATCCATTCAGCATATTTCACTTTCACTCCATGCACAGGATTCAGAACTAGAAGAAAGTTGTAGAAAGTTGCTTGCCTGTTTCTGAGAATAATAATACCTTGCACTAACAATGTGCTCTATGTAAGTTTATTTGTAATAGCAAAAGTAGAGAGCAAGATAATGAACAGTTGCACATTACCCCAAACACCGGGCACCATGGATTGTTGCTCTGCAATACAATTTATAGTATGCCCAACGGGTGACTGGCTTTCTGTAGCTTGTTCTCCCCCTCAGTCTTCCAGCTGTATCCAGCACATATCCCAGGGGACTTTGCAGCAGAACACATATTGCCTCCTCCTTGCAGACCCTTCCCTTCTATGACTTGTCCCCAGGTCTTTATGGTTATGGTGCCTCCAACATGCATAAATGGGGCTGCAATTTTTTGTTGGTCTTTCCCAAGTGCACACGTATGAGTAGCCTTGTCTGGTCATTCTGCTTGCGTGTTTCATTTGTCAAAGATAACATTCAAAGAAATCAACAAGATAAAGATGCACATTGCTGCGAGAGGGGAGAGAAATAACAGTAAATGGTTGGAAGAGCAAATTAGAAGTGCTGCAAATTCAGGAGCAGGAAACAAAGAATTGTAGTGAAAGGGAGGGGCAATATCTCTGCTATGGTAATCTTCTCCATTTGATGTGTTGAAGTGACAATATTCTCCACCTTTTCAGCACTTCCTCATATTTCCAACCATTCCATAAAAGGGGGATATTAACTCCCCACTCTTTTTGCAACTCCTTTTCAGAGCAGTTGCTGCTGTGGTCATTGTGGTTTCCTGTGTTTTTAAAAACACAGAGGAATTTATGCAAATTTAAAGTCTGGAAAGTAAGGAGAAACAACATGTGTACAAATTTATTGGCTGGGAAGTTTATAAAGAAAAAAGTATGCACCTGCTCCTTCACTGCAGCTGTGCAATTTTCTCCATCATTTACACTGAATTTGCATGTTGTCCCTTTCCATTTACTTTCCAGCTCCATAATTGGTAGTAATATTCCTGGCATTAGGCAGTAGCCTTGCAAACATCTGGGCAAGCACAAGCAGAAGTTCTGTACCAGCCATATTCTACTAGTGCATTGCAGCATTTCTCTCCCCTCGTCCTCCTGTGCCTCAACTCCCCAGCCTGCTTCCACTTTAATATGCTCCTCATCAACTGTTCTCACTGCATGGCCATTAGCAGATCCTTTGGTCACACCACAGCATGCCCTGGAGCCAACAGAACAATCATTCACACCACTGCTTAAGTGGGAAGAAGTAGAGCAACCTGTTCAAAGTTGTCTGTGCAGTAGACAGTGCCAGCCACATTCTTCCATGAAGGAAGGCAGGGGAGAGAAATGTCACCACAGAGAAAGTGCAGGTACTTGGTAATTTCTTTTGCTCCTCCAAGCTAATGCATTGCATATCTGTCTCCCACTCCTGTATCCTTCCTTGTAGCAAAATAAAAATTCATAATGAGAAGATTTTCTTGGTGCACTTTGGAAACACGTTCAGCCCGTAAGTTTGCAGAAATGTTCTGTGGTTAGTTTAGGCATTTCACTAGAGGCAGGGGTGGTGGGGATGTTTTCGTTTCATTTGTGGAACCATGGATGCGTCTAATATCAAGGGACATGGAGGTGCTTGCTTGAAGCATACGATCACTTGTCCAGGACAAAGAATCTGTCAAACCAGCACCCACCCAGTAGTGAGATGAAGGGTGCCGTGTGGGGGAAACTAGGATGACAGCATAGTGGGGGAGATGCAGCAAGTGAAGACAAAGGCTTAGACAAAAACATCATTGTGCTCTTGGGAGACCAGTTGGGCAGCAGGGAGTTGGCAGCAAGTCACAAACAGTTCTCAGGCTGGAAGAAAGCATGGTAGGGAAGCAAGTGACGAGGGAGCGCAAATTCAATCTCTTTCTTGGGTAGTTGGACCCATGAGGAGAGCAGGGGTGGAGGCACAGGGGGAGCAGGAGTGTATCCCACTTCCCAGACAGGTGAAGAAAGCATTGTGTAATACACAAATGAAGCAAAAACAAAAGTAAAATCCACCAAGGGGAATGTTAGGGTTTACAGTGTTTCTCTGAAAATCAAGCACAGGCCGGTATTGATCTGCTAAGGGGTGGAGAGGGATTGGAAAACCAGAAAAGTCAAGACACACCCAGAGCTCTCAATGGATCAATAGGGAAAAGGCTGATGGCTTAGTAAAGGAGCAAAGGGTTGCAGGATGGGGATTTTGACTCAAGAGCCTCTGGAATATGTGCCAGGAACAGGTGAAAGAAGTGAGTCTGAAACAAACCATGACAAGCCATTTGTCTGTTGGTACCATCATGGGATTTTCAGCAAACAACCAACCCACTGTGGCTTATTCTCAGGGTAGCTTAGCATAACAAGTAATGTATGGACACAACCCAGCCAAAAGTAAGCACAGTCAAATTTCACTGATATAAACAAAGTTAAGCTCTTACATCTTTCCACTAAAGAAAGACTGCAAGGTTGTTGTTGTTTCATTTTTTTAATCTAATAAAAATATGCAAGAATAATCTAACATAATTTAGCACACTTCTTAGTTCAAGCAAGAGTATTTCAGCTAGAGGAGCTGCTCTAATACAAAGGTCTAATTTCAATATACCACAGCCCCCATATGTGAAAAATTGCCATAAATCAATGAGGAAAATCCAGGACTGTACAATGGCTGTGACTGGGCCTCATCACCTCACTGACCCTCCCATCATCACCACCTAAACCGTAGCAGCAAAAACAGGAGCTTATGCCCTTTCTAACTTAGATTTTAAGTTGCTATTATTTTTTATTTCCAAACCTTTAAAAGCATAATGCTTCAGCATGCAAGTCAGTGAAGCTTAAGGCTTCTTGAAAGGCTTTTTCAAGTGGCTTTTCCAAGGGGCAGCTAAGGCTGCAAACCTATACACAGTTACCTGAGAGAAGGCCTGGTGTGGCTTGCTTCCAAGTAGCCACTCACTTTTCTATAAGCTGACAGGTGTTTGTGAGGAGGAGCTTTTTAACTGGTCATCCAAACCAAATGCAACCTCACTTGCACCCTGCAATCTTAATAATGGGCTACACTGTAAGGTTATTGAAAGCCATCCACTCCCAGGCACAACTTCCTGACATACCCAAAGCCTGCAATGTGGGGAGGATGGCACTGCATAAGCAACACTGGGCTATCCATGGTGTTGAATCCAAGGCTCAGAATATGTTCAGTGCCATTGATAGCTCTGAAGCAGCTCAGGATAAAAGCCGTAATTGATAAAGAGTCCCATTGACACCCACTTATAGTATGTATGTATGTATGATGTATTTTCATGTCTATACCACCCTGTAGCTGAAGGTCTCTGTTAAACCATAGTGCAAGGTTTTCACATGATGATTGTGCATGATTCAAGAACAACCCATGATGCAATGGCAACCCATACTAAACCTCTCTACTGTGTTTCCATTAGAACTATGTTTAATTATCGATTAATGATGGAATAACAGGCTTTTATTGATTTCCTTTTATAAATTAAGGATACAGATTTCATTTTTTAAAAATTATAGCTGATAAACTGAACATAATGAGAAAGGGGGAATGGAACAGAGAATTTGTTCTCTTGGATGGAAGGGCAATTTCAAAGGGCCTAGGAGCCAAACTCCTTCCCCTGGAATTGACCACAGGACATATCTCCCCCTACAGCTGAAGTTGTTCCTAAAGTTGAGGGCAAATAAGTGTTGCAGGAAGAAAAGATACATTTTCACTGCTGGAGCACACCTCTTGTTTTAATACATAATTGCACTCTCAGAAGCCCTAAGGGGAGTGCAAATTTGCATTCAGAGGAGGTATATGCCCCTCACATGCCTTGTTTTGAAGTGGAATGCAGTGTTTACTGCCTTGCCACTGAAATTCAGCAGCAATCTGGGGATGGTGACTTGGGGGCACCATGGACCACAAAGCAGGTTGGTGGAGTGCATGCCACCCATGGGCCATGTGTTGCCCACCTCTGCTTTAAAGGTCTTAAAGCAGGGGCAATTATTGCAATCTTGTAATGTCACCAAGGATGGGCTTGTTATCCATGGGCGTAAGGCAGTCAGCCAGTAAGCATTTTAAATCCCAGTCATTTCAAGAAAGAAATCTAAGTATGTGCTTAAAACTCTACACTTTAGTTGAGGGACAGTATTTGACTTTGGGTGGATCATACCCTGTAATCTCTGCATCTTCTCCCAGGCAGATTATGTTGTACCTGTTGATGATGATGATGAAGAAGACAACTACATTAAACCCACAGAAGAAAACATTCCAGTGCCTTTAAAACGTAAGTGTTGAGATTTTCTATACACAGCTTTATGGAGCTGAGTGAGCAGCACATTACCTGACAAACATGTAGGACTGGATTACTGTCCTAAAGGAGAGAAATAACGAATTCATTATCAGATGTATGCATCTAAATTAAGTTTGCACATCTCTTCCTTTTGATGAGATACAGACTTCAAAAAGTGATTTTATTTTTTGTGCTTTTTGTGACATACTGACATTTCTATGTACCTTTTATGTTGCTTTAGCATGACATGTCTGTATTTTTGTTGTCGTCTTAAGCTCCAGCAGTAAACAGATCTATCAAGCCCACATCAAAACTCGACCCTTCCAGCTCATCAGTATTGCCTCCTGTTCCTGAGCCACCTTCCTCATTAGGTATGAAGAATCTGCAGTATCATGACAATATTGTGGAAACGTGATGCATTGATATATGGCAGTTAGTGCATGTGGGTCCAGTGCTCAGAGCAAGGCAGAGTGGCGGCACCACAACTTGTATCCTGCCTGCATTTCCTCCAGACAGCCAGTTGTGGCCTTCTTGATGAAGTGGTGTGGAGGAGGACAGAAGGAGGCTTGGGTACTATTTGGATATAGTGCAAGGCACCTTCCCCAGCCTTCTTCCTTTCTCACTGCCCAGCACATCCCTTTTCCTTCTCCCTGAGGAAAGTTCATGACCTCGCAGAGGCAGCCTGTGCAGGTCTCTGGGCCATTTTTTTAAAGGGAAGAAGGAAGTGGGAAGGAAATTAGGGTGGACACTCCCATCACTTCCACAGAAATTCTCTGGGATATTCTCTATCTATTAAATACCATTTTGTAAGTAGTCACCTTTAAATAGCCACCATAAAAATATTTTGTGACAATTTTGACAATTACTAGCAAGAACTAGGTTTGTCCCCGAAAAGGGGGAGGGTGGGATTGCATCATACACACATCATACACATCAGATGATATTTTTCCCACCCTCGCTGCTTTTCTCAAGATATGTGAGAAGCAAGGCCTTATCTCTGGAGATTTTAGCAGCTTATAAAATGGTTACATTAAAATATAGCATATTTTCTATTGCTTCGGAAAGATCATGCTCTTGCATATGGATCCTAGTGTCTCATGATTTTTAAAAATGTGATTATCTGATTCTCAAAGCTAATAGCACCCAGCAGATCCGGTATATTTTGCAGCTGGTCTAGCCTCATGTCATTCCTTGATAAGGCAGCTCAGTTTCCAGCAGAAGTTTAGTCAAATCACTCACTGAAAACTGAAAAGGCCTCTTGATGGAACATTCACGGAACTGCTGCTTGGAAGGCCCTAACGTGTGTGAAGGAAACTAAATACTCAGAGCTGGTTTGGGGGGATAACTTTGCTCTTTCCAACTAGAGGAAATAGGTTGCAGTGTGAAAACAAGTAAAATCAAGAAGAGTTTTTTTCCAGGTACATTAACATCCATGTAGTCCTTCTGATTTCTTAGAAATCTGTAGTAATCATGTGGTCTTCCAATATGGGTTTCAAATAAAGCAGCACCCCCTAGTGGAGATTAATAATTTCATGCCTCCCCATGATTTCTTTCATTTGTCACCTCTGAAATAATTTATTGTACAGTCAGGAGACTTGGTTACCTAGTTATTCCACACCATATGGAATCATAACATTCAAGGACAGGGTAGAACAGGAAGCCAAATGCCAGTACATAATATCATAGTTCAGGGGGAAAGCATACAAAGCAAGACAGAATTCATTGAATCCATCTTAAGTAAGCTGAATTTTATTCTCACTGAAATCAGCAGGACTTGAGTCAGGACCAAATATTGACTAGATCAGTCTGGATTCTGTCCAGAGTACCCCAAAGCTGTTCTGGGTAGATTTGTTTTTCTTGTTATCTCCACCATAGCTGACCATTGCAAACTGGTGTTATTCTGTAGTGTATTATGCAGCTGGAACAGGGAATTCACAATGTATGGAAGAAGCAGACATTTACATGATGTACCGCAGAACTATGTGGAATCAACCAGCATGCATGCTGATTCTTTTTCAAGCAGTTGCAATTGCAGGAATTGGGGCGGCCATGTGGATGCCATTTGCAAAGCACTAGTTCATATAGCTGAGCCTTGTAACTAGCAAAACAGAGGCTTCTCTGCGGAGGCACCTAGTTTCTGAAACTCCTTCCCCACACTTATTCCCTTTGCACTTAACCACCAAGTTAAAAACTTGTTTATCTGGTAGCCACCTAAAAAGATTGATTCACTTCCAGTCTTAATCTGTTAACAGTTTGGTGTTCTGTTTCCATTGTGATCAATGTTTTATATTATCTTGTTTTAAAAGAGTGCCTGTTCCCAAGTGACAGGCCTATGCACTCCTTCATGGCAGGGTGGTCACATTTCTAAACTGGGCCTTTGTTTTGTGGAGAAAATGAGTAAGTCATATAAACTACAGTATAAAAATATATAGGTGTTTGCTACAGTAATTAAAATATAACAGCACACATTCAATAAATACCTATAAAACCCAACAGCTAACAAAGGGCACATCCCTGTGTGTGTTTAGAGAGAAAGACACCCTAAAGCTCCCCACAGCACTGCCCCTCCCCTCCCCCCCATCCAGCCAGGCAGCCTTTTTCCATCCATGCCTGCATAGGATTGTACCCTAAAGGACTGTTCCAGGCCTACCTCAAGGCATTGGCTTTCATTTTTAAAGCCCTTAAGCAACTTGGAGCCAGCATCACCTCTTCCCAAATATGCCTGGTTGGACTCTGAGGACTTGAACAGTCTTTCTCCACATGGTGTCTTAGGGAGATCTGCCAAGTAGCTACGGGGAAAGGGCCTTCCTGGTAGTAGCAGCCCAGTTGTAGATATCCTCCATAAAACGCCACACTTTGGATGCCTTCTCAGAAAGGCAAGCCCACTCTTTTTAGTGCCAGAAGTAAATAAAAATAAAAATTCCAGTCTGTTTACACACTTTTGGCAAGTTTCTAAAGTTTATGAAGGCATCTAATTTTTGCAGTTTCTGCAATTTGAAACATTTTAATATTTACTTGCATTATGCAAGTTTTGCTTCTTTTTACCAATTTTGAACCTGTTCCATAATTTTTGCTGCATGACACTTCAGGGAGAGTTCTTTGCGCATTTATACAGAAAAATGAATATCCTGCAAGAAATGCCCACACTGGGTGGAGAATGCTGGGAACTGTAGGACTTTTTTTTGTCTTGTCTAAACATGCATCGTATTGCACCCTTAGGGAATCATGGTTACAGGCAGCATAGAAATTACATAAATAAATATTTTTATGCAGAGAAACAACACCTGTAAGTGGTCAGATAGGTGGGAAATATCTTTAAGCTTACCTAAATAAAATCCTCAAAAATAATTTGTCCTCTCAGAACGTTTCAACTACTTGAGAATAATTTCCCAACTCTAAGAATAACTTTCCCACTTTTTTCTTTTAGAAAATGATATATGCAAATGTAAAGAATATAGAATGTGATTACATACAAGAAACTGCTGAAAATTAGAAAGTAGATAAAATATCAGTAACATAAATAATAAATATTAGCTTGTTTCCTAAGGTAACTACACAAACATTTGGAATCCAACGGTCCCATTCCTTCCTTCTCTCCTACTGCCCCTTGCATTCCTCCCAAAAAGTAAACTTCTTCAGGAGGTCAGGGTTCTCTTGAAAAATGGAAGGTAAAGTACAGTTATCTCAGTGCTACCCTCTGGAGAGACTTTTGTGAAGTACAGACAGTTAAAGGGCAAAAAGAGTTTAAGAAACTTTTCTTCTTCGTCGTGGCCTCTGTGCATCACACATATGGGTTCTGCGCTGTGCAGTGCCTTTGGCCGGAAGATTAACAGCTAATGGTTTTTGGCAGGAACTCCACTCCCCCTCTCCCCTAGTATTATATAAGGAGCGGAGTATCCACTATTTTCCAGTCTTTGCAACCACCATTCGTTGTGCCTCATGCCGCTTCGCTCTTGCTTAGATCATTACTTACCTCTCGCTTGTTGAAAAACTTCCCTTTTTCTTACCAAGTTAGTATTCCCTTGTTCCTGTTACTGTTAGTATTTTCACTTAGTTCTTGCTTTTCACCTTTTTCTCTCTTGTTCCTATAAAACAAAAAACAAAACCAAAAATATTATTCTTTCTCTTTACTATCTCCTTCTCTTTTTCTACGATGGCGCAACGGGTGTCGTTCCGCAAGTGCGGAAAGTGTGGCTCCAAAATGCCCGCCGCGGACCCGCATGACCTGTGCCTCCTTTGCCTGGGGGAAGGGCACAGGACAGATAAATGTGGCCACTGCTTGGCCTTCTCCAAACAGGCAAGGAAGAATCGGGAGAACCACCTCCGCAAGCTCTTGTGGGACCAGGCTCTCCTCCAATCAGACCGGCTGGTGGCTAAGCCTCCCACAACTGTGGCTCCACCCGAAGGCCGTTCAACTTTGGCCGACCTGCCGCAATGCCTGGCCTCTTCCTCCATTGCTCTGCCCTCACGCCCTTCTGAAGAAGGTGCTCCTAGCATGGCCAATCAGCCCGTTTCCCTACCAAGGAAACAAAAGGAGAAGAGGAAGCTCAGTGATCCGGACAAACACCCTGTGCATAAGAAGGCCAAAAAAGATAAGGCTGGCAAGCCGGTTAAGAAGCCGAGGAATCCCGAGCATGCAAAGCATCGCCACTCGGGTTCGGCGACCTCCTCGATCCCGACTCCGGCAATGGAACCAACCCCCTCAGTCCTGATCATCCAGACGGCTATGAGGGTTACTCCACCAGGCTCATCACGCCAACCGGCAGCCAAACCCCTTCTGGACCCACAGCGTGGCTCCATCTCGGATGGTGAAATAAGAGATTTCCCACCAAGAGCTTAGTCACCAACACCAATGCCGCCTGTCCCTCTGGATACCGACATCGCCATCTCTCCTTCAAGAAGCCGCAGGAGCCGTTCTTTGCATGCTAGATCCGATGACTGGTACCATTCCAGATACTTCTCCGCTCCGAGACAGGAAGAGTTTCCAGGGGATGATCCTCACCACCAGCTCCTCGGGATCGTTTCCATTCTACACCCAGAGATGCCTCGAAGGCTCCATCTAGAGAGAGTGGCAGATCGGAGTCGCCAGGAGATTCCTCTTCCAGTGCCCCACCTCCTTACTGGATGGAATCTGATGAGTCCGAGGTTGACTTGACCTCACTAGATGCAGCAGTTACTTCGCAAGGCCCAGGGTCACCTGAAGAACCATACATCTCTTTCGATGAGTTAATGGCCAGACTGGTGAGGTCGCTCGACATCAAAGCCCACCAACAACCGGGACCGAGCACAGACCATTTTTATGATGTGGTCAGGGGCAAACGATCCACCTCTATTGCCTTACCGTTCATTACGACTCTGCGGCAGGCAATGACTCAGCCATGGGACTTCCCGGCCCACCCACAACCGACTTCACGCAAATATGAATCCATGTATCGGGTTCGGGAGGGGGACATCCCGTTCATCCTCTGTCACCCCAAGCCGAACTCGGTTGTTGTGGAATCTTCTCAGGGCCAGGAAGCTCGTGGACACACCTCGCCTCGCGATAAGGAGGGAAGAAAAGTTGACTCCCTCGCCTGCCGGGTGTACGCAGCTTCGGGCCTTGGCTTACGAATTTCAAATTATGAGATGACCCTGGCGCGCTATCAATATTTTCTTATGCAGCGCCTAGACACCATCATTGACACCTTTCCAGGAAACCAGGGCGAGCTAGCAAAAACCTTTGTTAAGGAAGCTATGCAAGTGGCGGTGCAGCAGCTTTCCACAGCGAGGCACCATGCTGACTCTGATTCGAGGTCGCCTGTCGGTGCCATTTCCCTCCGCAGACATGCCTTTATGTAATTGCAATTTTCCTGAAGAAATGAAGTGGAGAATTGAGGAGATGCCGTTTGACGAATCCGGTCTCTTCAATGCGAAGACAGATAGTAAACTGAAAAAGATCCATGAATCCAGAATGACGGCCCATCGTATGGAACTGCAATCCCAGCCTCGACATAAGTGGTCATGGTCATGCCCGCAATACCGCCAACAATTCCAACCTCAGCAACAACAACCACATCAACGCCAGCAACGCCACAGACAGCAACCGTCCCAGCGCTTCCAGCAGGACTGCTGCCGCTTCGACATGGATAGGCGACAGCGCTGATACGACAAGTGAGCCTTTCTTCTCCTCCCAACTTCACCCTCCCCTTTTTTATTTGGGGACCGGTTGAAAAGTTGGCTCTCCACTTGGGAGTCCATCTGATGGGTGGGTGTTATCCATCATCCAGCACGGCTTATCGACGTTGTTCCATCACCGAATCCTATCCGTTTTACACCGACCTTGTTGGTACTGTTGGATGAGATTCACCAACTCCTTACTAAAGGAGCTGTTCGTCCCTTATCGTTATCGGAAGGACTCCACGGATTCTATTCCAGATATTTTACGGTCCCGAAACGAGATGGGGGTCTCCGACCCATATTGGACTTGAGAGCTCTCAACAGATTCATAACACCAAAGAAGTTTTGGATGACCATGCTCCAAAATATACTTCCGTTGCTGGGGAGAGGGGATTGGTTCGCCTCGCTGGATTTGAAGGATGCCTATTTTCATATTTCAATACATCCACGTCATAGGAGCTTCCTTCATTTTGCGGTAGACTCTGAATTCTACAAATTCAAGGTGTTACCGTTTGAATTAGCCACCGCACCAAGAGTTTTTGCGAAGTGTATGGCCCCTGTCTGCACACACCTTCGTCTATGTGGAATTTGAATATACCCGTACCTTGATGATCGGTTGTTGGTTTCCGACACTAAAGCAGGACTTTCGTCTGCTGTTGATATTACTTGTGCTCTATTACAAGACCTTGGACTCTATTAATCAACAGAAGTCTTCTCTTCTCCCTATACAGACAATCAACTTTATCGGAGTCCAGCTGGATTCTACGTTGACAAGAGCCTTTCTTCCTTCAGACAGACAGCATGCTATCGCTCGGTGCATCTCTCAGATTTGACAAGAAAGGACTGTCCCTGCCCGATCTATCCAGAGCCTGTTGGGACACATGGCTGCATCCATCGCCATGGTTCTGCATGCCAACTCAGGCTACACCCTCTCCAGTTATTCTTCAATGGGATGTTCCAACCACAGAGAGATCCACCTACCAAACGGATTCGGCTCCCGGCCTCCGTTCTTCAGTCCCTGTTATGGTGGACAGAACCAGCCAATTTAAATGTCGGTGTCCCGTTTCGACCTTGGTACCCTACAGTGACTCTCGGTACCGACACATCTCTTCTCGGATGGGGAGTCATTTGCTACGACCTACGTACCCAAGGGGTGTGGAGTCTCCGGGATTCCAGGAACCACATCAACTTCCTGGAACTTCTTGCTGTTTTCAAAGCCCTGCAATCGTTCGAGGACGTACTTCTTCACCAGGTTGTCCAGGTGACTTCAGACAACATGGCTACGGTCTTTTATTTGAACAAACAAGGGGGAACCTGGTCCCCGAAACTAGCCCACCTGTCGATACAAATTTGGGACTGGTGCATACTGAAAGATAGCACTCTTCTAGCAGTACATCTTGCAGGCACGGACAATGTAGAAGCAGATCTCTTGAGTAGACATATGTCGCGGTCACACGAATGGGAACTAGACCGTCGGGTTCGCGACATACTGTTTCACCTCTGGGGTCCACCAGACATAGACCTGTTTGCCACCCGACAGAACAGGGTGTGCATGAACTATTGTTCCAGAGCGGGAATAGGACAGGGGTCGTCCGGGAACACCTTCAAGATTCGCTGGGACAACATGGCCTTTTACACTTTCCCACCAATCCCCCTCATCATGAGAGGAGTGTTGGCAAAGATCATTCACGAAAGGGCCACAGGGCTACTGATAACTCCCTGGTGGCCATGCCAACCATGGTTCTCAACACTCCTTCACATCTCTCGGGAGGATTTTCTCCAACTCCCTCTTCTTCCTTATCTCATTACCCAGAGGGAAGGCACGATCCAACACCCAGACCTATTGTCGCTGAAACTGACTGCCTGGAGGATCCGATAACCATATGTGCTGCACCAGTGTCGACACCACCGGCAATCCCTACTACCTCTACTTCACAAACTTTACATCCAGATCTGCAATATATTCTTGAATCTGCATTAAGGCCATCCACTAGAAAATCGTACGCAGTGAAATGGAGTAAATTCTCGAGCTTTGCAGAATCTCACTCGTTTCCGGCATCCGTTCAGCAGATTCTTCAATTCCTCTTCGAATTGCACCGGTCAGGACTTAAACCTTCTTCCATAAAAGTATATACAGCAGTGATTTCTTACTACCATGGAACTGTACAAGGTTTCTCCATTTTTTCTCAACCTTTGATTAAAAGATTTTTGAGAGGATTGGGTAACCTCCATCCAACAATAAGGCCTCTAATGCCCACTTGGAGTCTTTCAGTAGTTTTACAAGCACTGACTCAGCCACCTTTCAAACCCATGGCAACAATTGATCTACGCCTTGTCTCATGGAAGACTGCTTTCCTCGTAGCAGTTACTTCAGCACGTAGCTCTTCTGAGCTTTGTGCCCTTAGGGAAAACCCCCTTTTCTGAATTTTCATAAGGAAAAGGTAGTTCTACGGCTAGATCCGTCTTTTCTTCCGAAAATCGCTACTTCGTTTCACATGCAGCAAGAAATCGTTTTACCAGACTTCTTTCCAACACCTTCAAATCCGATAGAGAGATCTCTGCATATGCTAGACGTTCGTCGTTGCTTAGCCTTTTATAGGTCCAGGACTGAATCTGTTCAACACTCCAATAGACTTTTTGTGAAATACTCGGAACATGACCGAGGCTATCCGGTCACTTCCCAGCAACTTTCTAAATGGATAGTGAATACAATTGTTCTCTCTTACCAGTTAGCTAAATTGGACTTACCATCTACTCCAAGAGGTCATTCTACAAGGGCTGTTGCTGCTTCTTCGGCCTTTGCATCGGAAGTCCCGATGGAAGACGTCTGCAGAGCTGCCACTTGGGCTACCCCGTGTACCTTCACCAGACACTATAGACTTGATGTCTGTGCCAGACAAGATTGCTCTTTTGGCAGGGCTGTTCTTTCTTCTGTTCTTTGTTGATGACACCTCCCTCCTCCAGTTTGGGTAAGCTTGTTATTCTACCCATATGTGTGATGCACAGAGGCCATGACGAAGAAGAGCAGGTTGCTTACCTGTAACTGATGTTCTTCGAGTGGCCATCTGTACAGTCACACAACCCACCCTCTGACCCCACTTGGTGTCATGGGTGGTCTGACTGCCTTCCCTTCGATGCTAGGATTTCTTTAGATATTTGTCGTACCACTGAAGTTTTGGGGTTTTTTTTTTTTTTTGCCATGATGACAATAACTTTATTAAGGGAGCGTCGGTCTTTCAAAGACTGGAAAATGGCAGATACTCCGCTCCTTATATAATACTAGTGGGGAGGGGGAGCGGAGTTCCCGCCAAAAACCGTTAGCTGTTCATCTTCCGGCCAAAGGCACTGTGCAGGTGCAGAACCCATATGTGTGACTGCACAGATGGCCACTCCAAGAACATCAGTTACAGGTAAGCAACCTGCTCTTCTGCAAACTTCCTTCCGTTGACTTATCTTAATTTATTTGATTTATATCCCACTTTTTTCTTATGAACACAAAGCAGGTTACATCATTCTCCTCCTACTGCTATCCATCTTATCCCCACAACAACAACCCTGTGAGATAGGTTGGCCTAAGAGTCTGTGACTGGCCCAAAGTCACCCAGTTAGCATTAATTCTTATTCTTAACATGATCTATGAGTATCAAATGTTCTCTCAAACATTCTCTCAAAATGTCCTATGCCCATTTACTCATGAATTATCCCAATGAATACAATGGTTTTTACTTCTGAGCAGATGTGTACAGTTTACTGCATTAATTAAAACAACAGCCACAACTGAAACTTTATATTGATTATTCTTCGAATCATTCCTGCACTCATGTTTGCATGTGGATATTTATTTTTGTTTCTGCATAACATTATCTCTCTTTTTCCAGATGTCTATGAAATTCCTGAAGAAGAGGTAAGCTCGTGTATACTTTTATAAACACACACACACACACACAAGTGCAAAGGAACAATTCTCACCTGTGCAGGAGCATCCTTTTCCACAGATGACAAGAAATGCTTTCTGCATGCAGAGAACATGAGAAACCCATTCACCTATTGCAAATTGCTCTTCACATGAATGCAGAATGCGGCGGCAGCATTCGTCCCAATATTCCTCAGGGACTGTGTCTTTGTGGTCATAGGCATCAGCCCCTTTCCATTGGGATGGGGCCTGGCTTAGCAGCAAAGCATATGCTTTGCATGCAGATGGCTCTATGTTTGCTCCTGGCATGTCCAGGCAGAGCAGGAAAAAAATCCTGTGTGAAAACCTGGAGAACAACTGAAACTCAGTGTCAATGATAATGAATTAGATGGACCAATGGTTGGACTCAGTGACCTAGTTTCCACTACCCTAATAAGCCATGGTGATCACCACTGTGGGCTGCTTCAGGGTAGCTTGTTGTGATGGCCAAACCTGGAGTATTTCTTTCATCTTAATTGCTTCTGCAAATAAGCCACCCAGGGAACCCATGACTTGTTGTTGGGTTGTTCAGAGTGGCTCATGTTATCAGAATCTGGTATGGTGCCTCATCATGAATTGTCTGGAATGAGTAGACAGTTATCCTTCAAGAGCAACAAAAACCTCTGGCACTCTTCATGGTCTTGCTGGGCTACTCTCATCCACTCTCTTCCTTTGCCCTCAAAAACAAGAAGAAAGGCCACTAGACAGTGTTCTCAATGTGTTCACTATCTGTCTTTTCAATTACCTTCAGGGAGAGGGGGTTTGTGCATACTTTTAAAAGTCTGCAGCTATGACATTTGTATAATTGCATTCACTGCAATTATACAAATTACATGCATTCACTGATCCCACTCACTGTTCTGCCTTGACATTTGCATATGTTTGCCCATCCACCTCATTTCTGTCTTGAGATTTGCATATCTTTACTGATCCCCTGTTCTGTAATGCCAGAGTGGAGGATGAAATTGACAGGGCATTTACAAAAGTGGAATTTTGCTATGCCAGCTAACTAGCAAAGAGGTGGACTTGGGCTCCTTCAAACTTGCACAAAATCCTGAATATTTTTTTAATGTTTCTGAACTGTTATCTCATTCATATTACATACATATATACATTTGGGAATCTGATGTGGAATTGGAAAGGGCACTGATGTAGGCAATGAGGAATTGAAGATTTCTGCTGCAGAGGTGCCTGGGATCCCAGAAAACAATCCATAGCAAGCCAGAGTATCTCTGACTGTTTGTGAAGTGTAACCTTGGCTGCCAGGCAAACAACAGCTGATGGTGGCTTCTCTTCAGACTGGCTCTGTATGACATGGAAACTATGGAATTCACTAACAGAGTTGAGCTCAAGCATGGCTCTCCCTTTGTTCTTTTGATCTCAGGCTCTCCATCTCAAAGCAGGTGGGCACCACTCTGAGGCCATGTCTAGCAAGGACACTACAGTCTTTAAGTCTGACTTCTTGACCTCTGGGTGAAGAGGCCTTAACTGGCACCCTAACTGGTTTTAGAATGGACACCAGCTATTTGACTTCTTTGTTGTACATATAAATTACATATGCAGTTTCACAGGAAAGAGATGTTCTGATTCACTGATAATTCATGTCTGGCTGTCCATGATGCCCTGTAAGGCAGGAAAGAGCATATGCAGGATTAGGCTAGAAAATATTCCATAAGAAAAAGGGCATCTAACGTACAAGTTTTGAATAATAATCAGCACTTCGTTTTCTCAGCAGGAAAAGCCATCTCCTCCATTAAACAGGTAATTAATCACTGAAATTTTGGGCTGTGCTAACTGGGGATGATGAAACTCAAATACTTTGGCCACCTAATGAGAAGGAAGGACTCACTGGAGAAGACCCTAATGCTGGGAACAATTGATGACAAAAGAGGAAGGGGATGGCAGAGCATGAGGTGGCTAGATGGAGTCACTGGGGCGGTGGGTGTGGGCTTGGGTACACTCCAAGGGATGGTGGAGGACAGGAAGACCTGGAGGAGTGTTGTCCATGGGGTTGTGATGGGTCAGACACGACTTTGCAAATAACTACAACAACAACAAACCTATTTCAGCATCATTGCTTCTAAGAAATATGCCAAACAGACTTCTCTCAAGACCTTCTTCTCTTCCTATTATGAGAATATCTGAATAAGATGTCTTTCCAGTAATCTAGATTCACAGAATTTGGCCAAAGCTTGTAGAAGTAGTTCACAAGCCAGCATTGTAAATGTAAATGCCAGCATTCTCTTCCCATGCCAGCTGCCATGCACTGGAAGTAACCTCTATGAGAAAGATTAATACCAGAAGAGTTAGTCCTCGGCCTGCAGTAGAGGAGCGGGCTTGTGTGTGGTCCCTTGTCATACATCTGATGTTGGCAGGGTTTGCATGTCACACAAAGCCATGGTGATTTCTTACCCTTGTTGCCCTGTCGTGGCGTTGCTGTGTGGTGTCTTTCATTATCTGACACCACAGAGAGAATCAACAGTCTGTTCTCCGCTTTATGGCATGGAAATATGAGTCCTGTGGAAAGAGCAGCCACACAAGTGGCCGTTTAGCCACCCATCCTCTACTACCCTCAGCTTCCTTGCGATGCATGTGTCATCCCCTGCTTTATTTCTATCAGCCAAGTGATGTGCCCATTTCCCTGATGACTTTCAGAAACTCAGAGAAAGTGGGTAACTGCAGAGAGGGAGAAGCGGGGAATCAAAGCACTTAGTATGATTTTTAAAATGCCTTTGGAGGCAGAGAGCATTGCAGGGGCGCCATGCAGAGATGCAAGCACACTTGGGAGGGAGGAGAGGAAGAATCTGTCTCAAATCTGGCAGAGACTGCTGAGGCCCAATAGGAGCAATGGGGGAAGGAAAGAGATTTCACTTGTGGGAACCACTGGGAGCAGGAAGCACAGAAACTACATTGGCCATGAAAGTACAAGATCTTCTGACTGGTAAGTTTGGGCAAAAATCCAAACTCAATGGAAACAGTGCAGGGTTGTTTGCTGTGATGTGTGAGTCAGCTATTGCTTCAATAACACCCTTTAGGATACAGTGCAAGTCATCATTCATAAATCCATTTAAAATGAAATAGGAATGTTATACTTACATTTGACTGATTTAAATGGTTCTTCCATAGTGCAAGTCTATATATGTCTTCTCAGAAGTATGTGCCATTGAATTCAGTAGAGCTAACTGTCAAGAAACTGCCAAGAAAATTCTACCCTCAGTATGCCTATTGTATTGTGAATTACTATTGCCTTAGTTATAAATTACAAATGGAGATGAGCACCAGCCCTAAAGTCAGACACACCTAACACATAAGTGTGGGGGAACCTTAACCCTTACCTTACCTAATTATAAAGTATGTACTTTTCTTTTCCTAGATGTTTCTGCACAAATCCCTCGCATTACTAATGATTATGACTGCAATTGGCATTGTTCTTTTAGCAATGGGAACAGATATCTCTGTTAGCAGATTAGTAAAAAATGTTTTGCAAACACAGCTGGAACCCAGAAGGTGTGAGTGAAAGGGGAGAGATCCTGGCTTCATTCCTCCAGTGCTTCTTCCAGCCTTACACCATAAATTTTATAGCAGCACCAGTAGCCGCATCAGGAGTAGGGAAATGTATAATATGCAGCCATTTGGATCCAGGACAGAGATTGTTTTGACATTGTTCTCCATAAGGACTTCCAAGCCTCCTCTGCCAAAGCCAGTCCAGAGACTATCTGGAGGACACTTTCAGGAACGCAGCGCAGGCAAAGAGTCCTTTAAACCAGACAGGTTAGTTATTAATTTATTTTTAAAATCTCTGAAATTAGCTAAGCAGTCTCTCATATGCAGAGACATTGCATGTTGAGCATCGAGTATGGGATTGTGGAACATATATATTCAATTTGGAATGGGGACACCCAAGTTCAAATTCACTTGGTAAGTCAAACTACATGTCATGCTAATCATTGTGTAGTACAAGTTATCTTCCTATTTGCTTTGGAATAAGCACACACAGCACCAATTTATACTGGGATTACTACCCTCCAGATGAGGAAAGTTAAGCCATGCCCCTCACCATCCCGGTTCCCAAAACCCCTTCCCCTGTAGGGTATTATCTTCCATTGACTGTAAGAAACACTTCTGCTTCAAGTTTCTTTGTGGAATTAAGATCAGCTCCTTTACACATTTTTCCCCAGGGCAGTGGGGGTCTCAGACTTTCTGTGTGTTTCAATACACAACCACCAGGTGGTCTGTGGCATAGCGGAATTGTACAAATACTTGTGCACCTCCCACATCATAGTTTGTGGATGCTTAGTATGATGCCATCATCCACCAGGGACTCTCCCATGGTTTGCAAACATTTTAGCAGATTTTCCCCCAGCAAGGAAAATCTGGTATGTGATTCTGTGATCCCTGAAAGCCACATAAAAGCCTAGTGCAGTTGCACGATCCTTCACAATAATGCCATCTTGTGGTTGCATAATGGAACATACAGAAAGGCAGAGAAAGAAACTTTTAAAATGTAAAGGAGATTATCGTAATCCAAAGACTCCGAAAGCAAAAGCCTCAGTAAAGTCATGGGTTGAAATGCTCATGCAGGAAATTTTGTCCTCCTCACAGTCATATTAAAATGGTTGCCAACCATGGGAGTAGCCCTGGAGGATAGCAGAATTACCCACAAACTACCATGAGTGAAGGGTCATGAATGCTCAATAAATGCGTGGTGTGGAAAGGCTGTAAGACTACTCATGAAAAGAAGTGATTCTAGAAAAAAATGAAACGTCTGAAGCAATGTTTGTGCTTTCCAGAAATATTTTGCCTCTCCCAAGACCCCGTCCTCTGCCAAAAATCGTAAGTAGTTCACCACTCTACTGGTGTGAAAAGTCATTCTTTTTGTTGCTGGAGGGTCAGAAAATCAGAGCCCACCTCTAAGTTGTTATGAAGAATCTTTAATAAAAAACAGTCCAAATGTGCTGTAAGCTACATGGACTTTTAGTGGGGAAATCTAAAATCTCTGCTGCAGACACTGTGGCCTTTGCTTCTCTTTTTCTGGTTTCCCTACAGGCAAAATCCTATGTATGTTTAGACAGAAAAATGACCTATAAATCCAGTATTCCCCAGCCAG